CTATGAGCTGTTTCTGACATCTGTGCTCTCATATTGCAGATTCCATAATGTTTACTGCGCATACATTGCCTCCAGCTGTGTGACCATCCTGTCTCTCCCAGCTTCTCATCAACTTTTTACCTCCAGGTGAGTCCAGGTTCTGTTCCCACCTCTCAGTGTCCTGAAGAAGATTTCCCTGTTGCAAGTTTCTCATGGTCCTGTTTCTTCTAGTTGTGCAGGAAGAGCCTCATCCCCTTCGCTGGTGTTTATATCCAACTTACAACATCACTTACAAAATCTGCCCCAGGCACGGATTTTGTGCCACGTGTCCTGTGTGTTGACTCTCTCCCTGCAGTGGGTTTGCTCTCTTTGCAGCAGCATCTTCAAAGAGGTATGGAAGCTTCCAGAGAGAATCTGGCAGAAGGCCTGCAGACTTTCTACTCATATATTTTATGCTACAATGTAGAAGAAATAAGTTCTATCTAATCCTAGAACCCTTTATTGTAGTGTCTGAAAAATACTTGCATATTGGAGAAGGATCAAAATGACAACTGATGAGAAGTATGCATCTGGTATCAGGCAGGTTTGCAGTGAGGAGCAGGGGTAAAGTGAGGACTTTCAGAGGAGAATCCTGCCATGCACCGTGCTCTGCTCTTGAGGTGTATCACACCTTGCAGTATGTTTTTTCTTCTCAAGAAGAACTTTTCTCAAGGCACCCACTGAAAATACAGTGAAGTTCTTTATTCCTTTGCATAGTTAGTTAGGGGAGTTAAAAGAAACAGTGGCCATTCACCTTCTCTCTTGTAGCCACCCATACATAGCTGTAGCTTTACTCTTCCTTCAGGGGAAGTGCACCCGACACAGTCCACCCTGTCCATCACACACTGGAGTGAGGCAAGCCAGTGCACGGTAAGCATGTAGAGGCTGGACATGGGAAGAGGTGGGTAGGAGGGAACAAATCGTGTGACACGGGAGGGGACAGGCCAGTCGTGGATGGGATGTGGACAGAATAGTGAAGATAGGAGTTGAGATTCCTCATGACTTCCCAGAGGTAGACAAACCTCTCTTTACTGGGACTTGTTGCCTGGGAGGTGATGTTTGTGATGGGGCAGGGTGTTGTTCTGACCTCCCTCCACTTCTTCATTGCCTGCTCTCTCCATAGGGTGCTGGTGGAGGATGGAACAGGTGAAGCTTTGGTGTTGTGCAGGAACCAGCACGTGGCAGCAATGCTGGGCCTGAGCCTTCTTGAGTGGGAAGCTGTGCAAAGCTGTGTGCAGAGCAGAGGCAGCCTGTTCATTCAGTATGGAGAAGCTACTGGGACTGGGGTGAGTGGGTTATTCAGGCAGGGACTGCTGCATGCAGGGTGTGACTTTCACTGGGACTGGATTTCCTTTTGCTGTGGGTGTTTCAGGGGCTCCCTGCCCCCCTCCACACATACTGACAACACACCCTTTCCTTCCTCAGTGTGTGGAGGAACTGGAGGATCCCATTGCTTGCTACTTAAGGAACCTCTGCAGGAGTTCTCTCATCTGTCGCCCTATTCTGCTGGATTTCAGCCTAGACAGGAAGCCCTCCAAAGTCCTGCAGCCTGGTGAGCAAACACTGTTGGCTTTTGTAATAATGGGTGTGGGAAGGAAGCTAGAAGCTGTTTCACCACTCGGGAAGGGAAGCTGCCTTCTCTGCCTGCAAAACAAGACCTTTGGAGGATTTCCAAGGAATTTCCATGGATGCAAAAAATACAGAGACAACAATTACAATACAAAAAAATACAACAACTAATATTGTTGTATAAAGTGACACTTTCTGCTTTTACTTTACATAAAAGCATATTAAAATAGTATTGAATCATCATTATTGTGGTGATAAACTTGGAATACTTCTGTTCAAGTTTTAAGTGGAAAATACATCATCTAGCCAGGATAGTGGTTGTTCAAAGGTATCAGGCTGGAGAGTTGGGCAGAGAGGAACTTGGTGAGGTTCAACAAGGGCAAATACAGAGTCTTACACCTGAGGAGGAAAAACAGCATGCATCTGTAGAGGTTAGGTGCTGACCTCATGGAAGGGAGCTCTGTAGAGAAGTACCTGGGTGTCCTGGTGGACAACAGGTTGGCCATTTGCCAGCATCATGCCCTTGTGGCCTAGAAGGCCAGAGTTACTTACAAACAAAGTGGCTTTTGGCCGTAGGCAAGACAGCAGGCAGAATTGGCCTTAAACAAGACAGAAGGTAGAATTAAGCATAGGTCTGGAAATCCTCACCACGGCCACAGAAATTGAAACACTGAAGGATTTTAAATTCATGGGTAGTGATGTCTGAGCTCATGCTGCCACAGCTGTGCAGTTACTCATTTAAGGGGACGTTCTCTTCAAGCCACCTTGCTAATACCTAGCCATGTGGGTGTGGGTCCAGGCATGCAGAGGCTGATTTGTTAGGCTCACCAAAAGATGCTCTGCTGTTGACACTGTCTTTGGGATATTATGTAACTCTGTAAGGCCAGATTGCTGACGGTAAGAAAAGATACAGAGCTCAGTGCAGCAGCAGTGTGCACAGCTCAGCAAGCAGTACATTGTCCATAGCAATTCACAACATAAAATGTCTCTTTCCTCCTGTATTTGTTAATCTTCCTGTCCTTTGTGGTTTAGGAGATGTCAAGCAGCTGCTGCAAGGCTTTCTTTCCTGCAGAACTTTTAAATTTGTGTGCTAGAGCTTAGGAGCCATGTACTGAGCAATTACGTGTTGTGTCCTTCCCCTTCAGCTCCAGTGCAAGTGAGAAATTTTCGGTGCGGTGAAATGGAGTTTGTGTCACAAGTGAGACCTCGACAGAGCCTGTTGTGCCTGAATGTGGAAGAAGTAGGACAAAAAGCCTTATGCTGTCTGAACAGAGAGAGGATCGAGAGGATGTCTGGTCACTGCCAAGTGGGAACCACTACTTAACATCTTCCCCAGTGGGAAATGAATCATGGAAATGCCTATGGAATTGGGAGGGGGTTTCTTCCCTTCTTTCCTCCTTTCCAGTGGGAGCACAGGCCTGTGAGCACAGCATGAAGACTGTACCCAAGAAGCTGCCTTGACTAGTGGAATTCTTGAACTGGACCATTGCCACCGGCCATTGCGGGCTATGCTTCAAGGAAGAAATGTTCATTTGTCTCCTACGTGGTAGCTATTGCTCAGGGCCTTGGGCATGTAATGTGTTTTTTATGTGGCAGTATCTAGTAAATAAGGCTATCACATTGCAGTTTAAATAATAATATCTATTTTAATACCATTTTACTTGCTATATGGGGAACTGAGTCAGGTTGTAGATTAATTTATGAGCCAGAGACCGGCATTTTGCAGTTCATTCACTGTCTTCATGGAAAAGTGTGTAGTTTCCTTAGGGGAAATTCTCCTTAACATGTTTGGAATGACTAAAATGTTTTTAAAGCACTTCCTTCCTCGAAGAAGAGAAAAGAAATAAACAAGTTACTGTTTGGAGACTAAATCATGGCACTAACAGTACTATGCAAGCATTGTTTTGCAGCTTAAACATTATTGCAGCCTGAACATTATTTGGGGCTGGTAACGAGGAATGCAGAGAGCTATGATACGAGTTGACAATACACTCCAGGCTTGTCCATCTGCTGCTGATTAGTAAGTTGGGGAAAATATAATGCTATGTGCCTTTATCTGTAGTGGCATAGCAGCCTTGCTGGCACAAAGCCATTTAAAGATATTCCACTTCCATCTGTTTGCAGCAATAACTGAGCATTCTGCACTTGTATAAGTTAATAAATTCAACCCAGAATTACTTCCCCACCTTACTCAGTGCGTAGTACCTATTTGAGCAGCTCCTCAAATAGAATTTGGGGTTTTGTTTGCTCATTCTTTCCTTCTGTCTTTTCCCCTTCCCCCTTAGTTTGAGCCTTATATTAATTTTCAGGTGATGGTTTTACTGAGTGTGTGGAAAGTATCTTCAGTCTGCTTGCCTCTTCTAGACCAAAGCATGAGTTCCCAAGACCTGACAAATGCTGCTGCTCAATAAAGTTCTGAGACTCCATCCTAAGGGAGGTCACAAAAAGAAGAAAGGAAAGATCTTTGAGTTTTGCCACAGTGGCCTTTTTTTCCAGTAGGTGCTTTCTCAGAAAAGGTAAAGGTTTTGCTGAAGCTTGCCTATCTTCCCAAGGAGAAAAAAAAAAAGAAAGAAAAAAAAAAAAAAGAAAATTTTCTCATCGTAAAGAAATGTTGACCTAAGATGAACAGATCAAAATCAAATTAGAAACTACCACTGAAAGTATCCTGTGAAATGGGTTAGCATAGTTATAGACAATGCTACAGTGGTAGATAGGAAGTGCCAGATAAGAGGCCTATTTAAAAACAATAAGGCAGATTTTCCCTATGTAGTTGAAACTGTTGAAAAACTGGGTTTAATTCTGAACTGGAACTTTCCAATAGCACTAATCTCCCTCTTTTCCTCCTCATTATTTAGTCATCTGTGCTGCCACAATTAATCTCTTTCTGAAATCAAAATATCCTGTTGTTGGCAGGGATAAGAAATACAAAGGAACAACTGGCTTCATTTTGTGGCACTGCCTGACTCTCAGCTCAAGGTGGAGGAGAGCACAAAGTATGCCCTGCCATCTGTCTGTATCTGCAGTGACTGTTCTGCATGGAAGGACAGAGGTGTTCAATTTAGCTGATTGATTGATTGATTGATTTTTGGTAGCTCTCCATCATCAGTTTACCTCTCGAGCCCCACACCCAAAACTGATGAATCCTGCAGGCATTTGACCTATGCTTTGTGATGGCCCCAGTGCTCCTCAGTCTAGGTGGGATTGCTCAGGCTGGCAGCTCCTTATAGCCCTGTTCAAGGTGTCCCCAGTAAGCAGCATTTACTGTAGGTACCACACAGTGCAGTAGGATTATCTGAGTAAAGGGAGTGCAAGCATGGCTTGTGCTACTTCTCAGGGGGTAGAAGAAGACGTGATCGTGGCCTAGCAGAAGTGAACTCTATTAGAGACTCATAGCCTCTAATGTGTATTTAAGGTGTATGCTTATCAGTTTCTCTTTTGAAGCTTACCTCCTCGTCCAACAGCATTTGCAGATGGTCTATATTGACAGCAGACACATGGGAAGCAGGAGCATCCAGTGACAGGCTGGAAGGGAGGAAGACACTGACTCCGTGTTCAGGTTCACGACATGTAAGCTGGTCTCTGTTGTAATGTTGAAATCTGCAGCGGATGAATAGTGAGAGGAGGCTACCAGATGGGAGAACATGGCAAAAAAAGCAAAATCAGTGGGTAGACCTATTGCTCCTAGCTTTTCTGAATGCTGATACCTCTTGCTGGACCACACTGTAATGAAGCCCTCACTGCAGAAGAGCCCTGACCCTTTCCATGTAGAGCACAAAATAATAACCAAGTTCAAGGAGTGTTTGGACAGGGCTCTCAGACAAAGGGTTTGAGTTTTGGGTGGTTGTGGGTAGAGCCAGATGTTGGACTCAGTGATCCTTATGGGTCCCTTCCACCTGGGGATGTTGTGTACAGTTCAATGATTCTGAAAACTGATTGTGTATACTAGTTTTACAGGAGCAAGATGCTGAATGGTTTCTGAATTAGGGGAGATAGGGATGATTGAGAAAATAAATCAATGAAAAAAACAAAAAAAGAATTCTGTGATCTCTATTAGGTAGACATATCAGAGCTGAAGTCAAGTATCCAATGAGTTCCCTTCTGCACAGTGTTCCTCTTCAGAATAATTGAGATATCTAACTGAAAATACAAGCACAAAGCCTCCATACCCACCTTGGAAATATACATATATGGTTTTAGTCTTATGTGCAATAGAAGATTGCCAGTAGTTAAGCATGTGTCAATCTGAGTGGTACTACAACTCTTCATGCTGTGTCAAGTGTTGCTAACACAAGTTTGTCCTAAAATAATAGACTCTAGATTTAGGACGGTATAGATGACAACTGAACATTCTTAAATCCTGCTACATTTCCTTTCAAACTATGCTTTAGGCTCTCAATTATTGCATGCATCTTACTGATCAGATTCTGTTCTGTACAAGCACTGCTTTAAATTTAAACACAGCTATTCCTAATATATTAAGACCCTTCTTTTAATGTGCACACGGAGGTGGCAGTAGTTGGTCGTTAACTTAATTGGATAGGATTGTGAAGCCTAACTCTGTTTCTAGAGAAGCACTGATATGTATAATTTATGTATTTGTTTATTTATTCATTTTGTAGGAACTGAACTAATGAATGAGTCTAGCACCAGGAAAAAGGAAAACCTGGTGTTATGGTGATACTAGGTTGTGTACACCTTCCCAAACTAGTTTGAAAGCTGTAATTCTGTTGCCAAACCACAGATTGTGTTACTATTAGTGCTTCAGATATGAGAGAAAAGGATAGAACACCACAAATTCCAGCTGAGGTTTGTTTGAAAGTTTGCTATGCTGTGAATAAGTACTTCTAAATAAAGGGCTGGAGTCAGAGACGCTGATACCAGGAACAGCTAAAGGTCAGCTGGTTTGTTACAAATGCAGTTATCTAAGCTGAAGTGGCTAAAGAAAGAGTCAAAAGTTGGAGGATTTGGTTTGAGGTTTCAGTGTTTTCAGTGTGTGCTCAGCTCCTCTGCTCTGTGCTGAGCACACACGGGACCTCATCTACCAAATATGCTAAATAATGCTCTGCTATTTTGAATCCAGCAGAGGAAAGCAAGCAGTGGCTCCTGCCTTCTCCTCCTTTCCCAAAACTACTCCTCAGTACAGAGGAGGCAGTGCTGCAGGATCCCTCCATCACACACCACACACTGACTGAACTGCCTGTGGTCTCTGGGTGCCGTTGATCTCTACCTGTCACTGTGATGTTCCCTGTAGCCTTGGCAACGCTGTTTTCAATCACACAGGTGTACGTGGCATTGGCTGTAATGTCGCGCAGAAAGGAAACCACTTTCACAGTGATGTCCTCAGAGTTCAGCTCATAGCTGGTGTTGGCAGCATGAGGCAGGCACTTCCCAGCGTTGCTGCATGCCGTCCAGCGCACGGTGGGCTGAGGGAACCAGCGCGGCGCTTTGCAGCCCAGTGTGTCCCCACTGCTACTGGTCTGCACGTGGACCCTGAGGATGCTGAAGGCTTGGGGAGGGAAGCAAGGAGAATCAGAAAGGTAAACATCTGAGAACCAGGCCCTACTTGCTTGCCAGTTCCAGTCGTTCCTCACATCTCACATCTCAGTGCTGCATGTGGCCAAAAAACACGGGCTCAGGCAGTCTTAGAATCATAGAATCATAGAATCACCAAGGTTGGAAAAGACCTAAAAGATCATCCAGTCCAACCATTCACCTATTACCAATAGCTCCCACTAAACCATGTCCCTCAACAGGGATGTCTGTAGAAGAGCAAAGTCTCCTTGTGACAAGGCCCTCCAGTTTGACCAGATCTGCTGAGGTTGTGGCACAGCTTTAGTGTTTTTAAGTAATTCTGCTAGTTGCATTTGAGCTTGGTCCTGGACACACAGCCCAGGAGGTTAAACGGTTAAATCTAGCAAATACATAATGCTTCAGGTAACTATGAGATAGGTTGTTTGTTGCTTTGATAATCATGTTTTAAAGGGGTATAAATTATAAAAACAGGATAAAGATTGTGAATGTACTAGAATTTTGACTATGCAGCAGTTCTGGCTGGAGGTGTGTGTTAAGGTATGAGAGAAAGAAAAAAAAAACCCTTTTATCTTTAACAGGCATAAAATCTGGATCTTTCTGAGATCATTCAGCAACACCCATTCTAAAAATAGGGGTTCTTCATAGACAGATGATTAGCTAGTAAACTGCATGTGGGAAATGTAAGAAACACAAGATGCAAAGAAATATTAAAATAGAAATCTCCTTTCTCTGGAGCAAGGATATGGAAAGAGGATAAGGCCATCAACATCTCCAGAAAGCCAAAAAAACCCACTTCTTATCCTCTTGTGCATATTAATTTTTGCAGCTCTGGATATTCAGCTTGGAGCATGATCAAAAGCCTTGGCAGAGCCAAGCAGCACTTTATGTCCTTCAGGTGGGAAAAAATTGTGTCAGCTTTCACCTTCTGTCATGCCAGGGAATAAAGGAAACAGCACACTCACACAATGCAGTTTGGCCTTTCACAGAAATAACGTTTCAGACTTCACAAGAAGTTTCCAGCTCAGCCACTGACGCTGGGCTTTGCCCCCTTCTGAACACGTGTAATTCCTTCACCAAGTCTGGTTTCACTGAAACAGCATCTCAGGGAAAAGATCCTCACAACCACCATCAGACTGTCCTACTCAGGTGTGAAGAGCCCCATGGTGACTGCCAGATGGGTCCGCCTTGCCCAACTCCTGCTCAAGCAGGAAGAGTAAGGTGCCCAGGACAACGTCCAGGTGGCTTTTCCTGCAGGCGACCTGTTCTAGAGGCCTGACCTGGCCACATCATCCTATGTTTCACAGCCTGGTTTTCTTTTCCGTATCCCCAGACAGCATTTCCTCACCTCCCGTCTGGTACCGCAGCACTGCCGCTCCACTCCCTCGGGATGTGGTGACGGAGCACCTGTAGGTACCAGCATCGGACAGCTGCACCTCTCTCAGCTCCAGGGAAGCATTTCCACCCATCACCTGGTCTGCAAAAATGGCCGTGCGGCCTTGAAACACCACATCTTGTTCTTGCAGGTGGTCCTTCCCTCCTCTGAACTCATGAACCAATCCGGCCACTCCAACTTTTGCCCATCGAATCACTATGCTGCCCATCCAGATATCAGGCTCAAAGGTGCAGCCCAGGAGGCCACTCTGGCCAATGTTCCCAGGCGACATCAAGGCGGTAACGTTGATGGAGCGCTTCCCTGCAAGGAGAAAGCACGGTGGCATGAAGTGCAGAGAGACCAGGCCAGTACCAGATTTGAAGACACTTCCCATCTGTGAGAAGGAGAACGGGGTCTTCAGGATTTTCTGCATGTTTGGCTTTGGGGCTCTGGACCCTGGGACAATTTCCTGCTAACACAGTGTCAAACCCCCATCAGCACAGGCTGCTCCACACTTTTCCACCCCTTTCTTCAGCAGCATAAAAAAGTAAATGTTTCAGTTGCCAGAACCCAAGATTAAAACAACAAAACAAAAGTCCCTTTAATTCTGCTGTGAAAGCAGAGGTCAAGAATTCACTTACTGGGTGAACTGGAATTCAGCCTGATCAGCCAAGCTCATTCATGCCTATGACAAATCTTCTTGGAAATCCTCTGTGTGTAAATCTCTGTGTTATTTAATCCACACGGGAGCTCACAGTCTCCAAAGAGCACAGTACAGAGCCTCAATGAGGGGGGAAAAAATGGCTGAATTTTGAGAAATTACCAGTCCTGAAAAAAAAGTCCTGAGACACCTCTCAGAAAGGATCCGTCTTGCATACTTGCTGCCATGACAGGGAAGCAGAGCCCTAGAGTTGACACCATGACAACTCATGTCTCTTGCAGCATCGACCAGTGTCCATGTTCTGGGAGATCCACCATTGCCTCACAGGCAAGGCTGATCTCAAGTGTAGCTGGCAATGCCTTGTAGGTGGCCTGGGTTGAAAAGGGCCACAATGCTCATCTAGTTTCAATCCCCCTGCTATGTGCAGGGTCACCAACCAGCAGACCAGGCTGCCCAGAGCCACATCCAGCCCGGCCTTGAATGCCTCCAGGGATGGGGCATCCACAGCCTCCTTGGGCAACCTGTTCCAGTGTGTCACCACCCTCTGTGTGAAAAACTTCCTCCTAATATCTAACCTAAACCTCCTCTGTCTCAGTTTAAAACCATTCCCCTTGTCCTGTCACTATCTACCCTTGTAAGCCGTTCTCCCTCCTGCTCATACGCTCCCTTCAAGTACTGGAAGGCCACAACAAGGTCTCCCTGGAGCCTTCTCTTCTCCAAGCTAAACAAGCCCAGTGTTTTTTTTCCCCTTTTTCTGTACTTTAAGAGCTATGCAACAGCCAGGCTGTGGTTTAATGCCACGGAGCTTTGCTGAGAAATGTCAGAACGGAAGTCACCTGTGCAACTTTCACTCAGCCATCTTGCAATCATTACATTACATTAAAATGAAGCCTTAACTAAAAGCTGTTGGATGGCCCTTCCACACAGGATCACACCTCAGGATGGAGGCTACGGATGCCAGGGCAGGATTGCGTCACCCCTGGCACCAGCAAGGAATGCAAGTGGTCACATACCTGAGATACCAAACCCGATGATCAAGGCAATCACGGCAGCTAGGATGATAATGACTGTGGTAGTGCTATTCAGGGAAAAAAGAACACCGTTACCATGCAACCTACCTCCCTCACACCTGGCGTATGTCTGCAGAGCTGCTGGTAGGAAAGAGGCGGAGGCAGGAAAGTGACAGACTTGAAGTGAGGTGTTCTGGTGAGGTGCAGGACTGTGGTAGCGACGAGGGTTGCTGTGATTGCTCTTTGTCAAAGGTAGCGGATCATGTGGTGGAAGGAGGGGAGCCCCAGGTTCTTCCCCCAGAGCAGAGTTCTCCTGACTGCAGCCTCTGGTTCATGAGTACAGCCCTTCCCTACCAAATCGGATCGTCCTCACTGATGAGGGAACAGTTCCCCAGAGAGGTGAGCAGAGAGCACTGAGACCCCACACCCCAAGCCATGCATGAGTAGCACGTTGATATCCACTTTGCAAGCTGCCCAAACCAAGGGGATGTGAGAAAGATGGAGCATGGCATGTGCACAGACCATCCTGCTCCCAGCTGCTGCTCAGCTTGCATGGGACACGCTCTGAGCAGCTGAAGCCTTTCCTACAGAATAAATCCAAGTGCAAGTGTCTCACACACCTCAGTGGAACCTCTGCCTTCATCCAGCTTGGAAAAGCTCATACATGAGATGAAGAGATGCAGCTTGTTGGTGACTCAACAACAGGGACATGGAACCTTCCTCAAGCCTAGGATACCCTAACCTACCAGAGCAGGCACAAAGAGCCTTCCTCAAGCCATCACTGCCCTGGTCTGCAGCAGCATTCACTTCGAGATGGTATTTATTCCACCCATGCAGATTCTGGGACGTCTGTCTGCATTCTGGGTGCAATTGATGACCTGCAGGAGGGAGTCCAACAGATGCACTGCCTTACTGACAGTAAAAAAGAAGCTATTCTGGTATTTAAGTAGTCTCAGTGAATGCAGTATAGGGTCAAGCTGCAAAGAACTCTTCTCTAGAAAGCTACTGGCAGCAGTGTGATACAGTCAAGCAGATTGGAAGAAGCAGCTACCTCCCTCCTCTCGCTCCCAAAGCAGACACAGATTATACTGTACCTCCAGAACATCACCTGGCCTTGGGATGCCATGGTCACCGCACTTACAAAGACGAGCCAAAGACCAACTGCCCGAAGATTGCACACAGGGTGCAGCACAGCCCCTGTCTTTCACACGATGCATTCTCCCAGGCTGTCCTGCTTAAATAACTGAACCCAGCTAAGGAGTGGTGAGTCCAAGCAGTGAACTCCCAGGAATGAGGAAACAGCATCTTGGCTCCCCCCACCAGGCCAGTCACTAGGGGGACAGGAGAGAATTCTTAAACCATCCATTTAAGAAGCATTTAATTTGATTTAAACTGAAAAATAGTCCAGCTTATGGTTTGGTAGCTGGCTGTTCCTGCGATCCGACTGCAGCAGTCTCCCATGCAGACCCACAGCTGACTTGCCATTGTATTCAGGACTACCTCTGGTCTCCCAGCTTAAAATCTCCAATTATGCTGTTGTCACTGAGTAGACAGGTCCTCCTCCTGGCTCCGTTTGCAATGTACACCTTCTGTTTCTCTGTACTGTGCTAAGAGGCTCCTCTGAGCTCAGAATAGCTGCACAGGTTTGGTGATGGTCACTTTTCTGACTGCTATTTTCTTCTGCTAGACTCTTTCAGACAAAATTACTCTTTCCTGAGCCCAGCTCCTGCTGCTCTCAGAGCTGTGGACATGTGAGCATGTAGAAGAAAGAAAGTGGACCAGACCTTCCAAGTCTTTCCCTCCACGCTTGGTCTCACTCATGGCTGGGGTTGGACTGAGTAGCTCTTGGGGATGAAGAGGTTGAGAAGGGCAGAGATTTTGAAAGACTGGAGAAGGGAAGGCAGCTTGCACCACTGCTGGGTTTCCCAAAAGGAAACCTGAATATCCTGTCATTTACATATGGATGGTGTTCCAGGGAAGATGGTGAAAAGGGGATTTTTCACAGTTCTTAGATACCTCCAGTATGTTTGGATGGTTACTGGGAGCTAACAGATTTTCCATGCAAAGATGATGTCTGGAGGAGCTGTCAACAGTCCAGCACAGTGACCAGCCTAACAAACAAAGCAAATTTCTTTCTCTGCAACAACCAGAGGCCTAAATGAAGACCCAGCATATAATCAAAACTCATCAGTGACCAAACCAGCAGCAAAGACTGAGTGATGTTCAGGAGCACAGTAACCAGGTAATGATGTATGTGCAAGATGTCAGATGTGTGTGTGCTCAATCTTTTGTATCACAATTCAACTTTTAACATTAACTTTTTAACATTAACAGCTACAAGGAACAAATGTATCCAGGCATAGTGCATGACGGGTAGCAGACTTTCTAGACAACAGGAGAGCTGTAAGAGGCTGTGAGTCTTGTATACACATGCATTGAAGTCAACCAAGTATTCCAAGTCATTTAGCACCCAGAACTCACCACTTCCAACCTCCTCACACCAGGCTGGTTACATGCCTCAGCTTGTGTGGAACCTCCTCCTATGTCTTACTGCCTTGCACTGATGAGAGTGTTGAGAGATTCACTCAAGAGAGATGAGAGATTCAGTGATAAATCTGCACTATGCCTAATGACCCGGTAAGAAGCAAAGGAAAATTAGAAAGCAGATGGTTTCCTGCTGGGTTAGGAGGCTGAATTAGCTGTCCATAAGGTCAGAGGAGTGCCACATGCAGTGTTACTAGTGTTGGGATAGGACTGCAGGACAGAGGAGCCAGGCTGGGACCTTCTCCTTTCAATGGTGGGTTTGTTTGCTGTAGGATTTCTGGATTTCAGTTCTTGATGTGTTGCTTCAGTAGGAGTGCTTAACTGCTAAGGTAATTGCTGTACAGGTAGAGGAGATGCCTGAACACCTTCAGCAAGGCAGAGATGTGGGCAGGGCCTACTTCCAATGCTCCAATTCCAGCTGCTACTGACAGCTCATCCATCACCCTACTGCCTCAAATAAAACCGAGGAGGGGCAATATTTCATTTGATAATCACTGCCACTCCGTGATTTTTGCAATAGTTTAAACTTAGAATGCAGATTTCATACAGCTTTTACTTCCCCTCTCCTTTAGCTTGGAATAAGTCTTTAATCTGAAGAGATCTGATTTATTTTGCAGCATTCTACTGATTACTCAACTTACCATAAACTAGTACAGCATTACTAGAAGCAAATAATAGTTCTGGGACACAGTGATCTGATGGGAAAGGGACTTCTGAGAAACATCCAGCTACCCTCTCTGGGACCTGATTTACAGCTGCCTTTGGTGCACTGTGCAAAATGGGCATCTCCTTTCAGCATTAGTTCACTCTGGGTTTATGGTTGGGTTACTTCCACTTGGAAAAAACAGGTCTGCATCTCAAGGACAGACTGCACTGGTAGGACAAGGGCAAGACCATTCACCCAGGGTAAAATCACATTAACTAGTGAGCAACTCATGCCAGAGACTAACCCTTACCACGTTTATCCTGTAAAAAAAATGAGGTATTTGGGATATTTGCCAGGAAAAAAAATATCCAGAGTACGTGGCCACAGAGTCTGCTTAGATCTTACTGGATTTATTAGCAATATCTGACCAGATATGACAGCAGGATCTGGTCCCACCTGATCTGGAAGCTGGTGAACACCTGGAGAAGGCAGACATGAGCTCTTGGCTGAGGGAAGGCCACAGCAGGCAGTAGTTTTGCTGGACCCACCAGCCAGTGTCCCAGAGCTGGCCACATCACATGCTGCCTCTTGCCTGCACAAGGGAACAGTGGGACCAGGAAGGACTGAAAGTTAGGAAAAAAGAAAAAAACCAGCAGGGCTCAGGAAGTGGCCTGTGGGAGGCACATGTACAAGTACCAGGCCAGTCACTGCCCTTCACAGTACAACACATTTCTTTCCTCAGAAGCAGTAATTTTTTCAGAACAGTTCTCTTACACCAAGTTCACGTCTTATTTCAATGTCAATGGAAAACTGGAGCAGTATCTGTGAAGGAGAGGAACTGGGAGAAGATGGAGTGGCATACTGACAAGCCAAGTTTGATGAAACACTGAAGGTGAAGGCACAGCAGGCTGAAAAAGAAGATGAAATGCTGGAGATCTTTCCAGCCTTCCGCTCTTAACATGAGTAATGATAGCACTGAGGTGCTTGAGAAGCATTGCAAATGGGAGCACCAGCAGACCCACCCTGAAGGCTGGGAGGAGAGTGTGACGCTGCCTTATCAGTTCTACCTGTGCTTGGCCTCACCTGACCTCGAAGGGAAGAAGGAAGCAGCACCAGTCAGAACAAGCTCTCATATTTCAAAATGTGGTGATGAGCCATGTTGAGCTAGAAGCTGGCAAATCCACCTACACGACCTGTGTGCTCCTGCCAAGGTCTGCCCTGATGTGGAACTCCACGTGGTCAGTGCACTCCTGTGGACTACCTTCTGCCTTGGAAAAGCCAAGAAGCCCTGCTGAACCAGCTTCTGTATTTCTGCAGTCTTCTGGGGACAAGCCAGACACTCGTGCATGGAGGTACAAGCACAGTTGTGTCACTGGTGTGCTTTGCCTCCTCTGAGAAAGGAGAGATGCCCTACGATACCCTGCCCTAGATACACCCTCTCTAGAGTCTTCCATGCTGAGGGGACTGTTCCAGGTCTTCCAGTCCCTTGTTCTTGCTGCATTTTTCCCTCCAGCTTTCTCACATTTTCCTGTTTTCCCAGTCTGGGGATTAAGTCCTCCTCTTGCCTCTCAGATCCCATCCTCATCATTTTCTATTTTTATTTTTTATCAGCAAGAAAATTTGTCCCGAGAAAAACACGTATCTTTACTGTTGCAGCACTGTGCATACGTCTGTCTTGAAAACGTCTTCATAAACAGAAGGACCAGCTGGTCTGAAATGACATCGTGCAAGCCAGCAGGATATCACTACACCCTAATCTACCAACTGCCTAAGACAGATCACCAACATAAGAGTTGAAACCATTCTTGGGCTATCGGGGACCTGTGCAAGACTCCTGCAGGTAAGCATGATACTCAATTGGCAAAACATTTTGAGTAAGGAATACTGAAGGCAAACTGCTTGCAAGTAATGGAGGACAATTGCATCTAACTCCACAGAGGGGCTAAGGTCCTTAAATGTTTTCTATGCAAAATTCTCCAGGCTACCATGACACACAACTTTCTTTGCCAAAGCGCAGCGAGGTGGTCAGTCCATGAGACTGACTGAACCTTCAAGTCTACAAAAAGATTGTAACAAGGACCTGGCCCTGGCAGGTTTAGCAGCCCATGCTGTCCAAACACTTCTCTCCCCCTTTTAAATGTACAGCTCAGACAAAGCTGACTTGCAGTTCTCTGAAATTTTCGGTTCACAGGTATCATTCTCACAGTTTCTTGGAAAATGCCAGTGACTGGGTGTGTAAGGACGGCCTAACATGAAAACACATTCCTTTGTCTGAGAGAACTATGATGGTTTTAGACTGGAATTATGTGCTTAGAGGACAGTCCTGTGCTTATGTGTTCCCTCTGTAACTCTGCATGGAAGCTCCAATTAAAAAATACACATGTAAGAGCGGGAAGACAAAAAACCAGACAGATGAGACATTTCTTTTCATGTTGCCTTCTGGTACTGAGCACAGAGCAAGGACAAGAATGGGTTACACTTTGTTCCATTAAAGGTTACTTCAAGTTAAACTTTCACTTTGTATTTTCAGAGTCAGCAATTTGGAGACTTAAATTGCCTAACTTGGAGATTTAAACTGCCTAACCTTCCCATGTTTGACAACCCTTTCTGGATGATTAATGGAAAGTTATAAACACCATTTGCATAAGAGTATCTGTCTCCTTTGCTGGGAGGAAGAGGTTCCAAAACTGGCTTTGTAAGATTAAAGAACAATATATCAGTCTTCTAGGTCTAAGCAAACAGTGCAGATTTCTACTATTTACAACCTAGCTACTATTCATCAGAAATCAAGAACCAGTCCTCATGTTGACAGTAGAGCAGCATTCCTCTCACAGAATGACCAACAGTCAGACCTTTGTCCCCACCCCAGCTCCCCAGGCAGCATTACAAGCCCCTAGAAAGAGATAGCTGTGACTGAGGTTACCTCCAGAGCAGTAGCATTCCCAGCATCAATGCCACGAACGTGTTTTGTTCCAGAAGGTACATGCAGGGTCTGCTTCACCCAGGCAAGTAGCAGGCAGTAAGTGCCTCTTCCTCCTATCACAGATGTTGCTTTCCCAGCCATGGGTTGGCAGCAATCATACAAATCCAGGAGAATAAGCCCTCCCTTCCATGCAGAAATTAGAACAAGCTCTCATTCTAAAGAGAGAGCATTGCCAGGGCCATGAAAGACAAATCCAGAAGTTCTGCTTCAAATGCATGCTGCTCTTCCTGTTTGGGACAGATAACTGCAATCTTGTACCTATGGTTCCCACAGATAGTCATACTGACTGAGCTGAGTGCTTTCCTGGATCCCATTTCACCCCCAGCAACGCTGTGCCCCACACTACCTCTGTGGACAAAAGGTGGCATTGTAGTTCCTGTTCCCATCACTGCCATGGGTTTTCTTCAAATTTCTTTCAGTGAAACTACTAACCTGCCTTCCTCCTACTTTGTGGGGAGACTGTAATGAGACTCCAGCTCACCTGGAAAAAATAGGAGCTGCAAACAGAACAGTGGCTTCCAGGGAAGTGAACTGTACTATGAGCACACACACAATGCCAAAATCCAGCTGGGTACCTGAGGTGAAGGCAGAAGCCATTCTGAGGCTGCCAGACCTCTCCAAAGCATGAACACAAACTTTCTGGAATGTGCCCCAACAAGCAGCTTTGGCCATTTTGAGAAGGACAGCAGACTGTCTGTCATGCAGAATGAGGCACATATTGACCCTCTTACGAGGTAGCTCCAAGTTTCCTCTCAGAGCCTGAACCCACAGGTCTTGAGTTGTCAAAAGTGCAGGCACTGGTACAATTCCTGGAATTTGCTCTTGTTTAGGCACAAAACAACCTTGCATACACACCCCAGGTAGAATATAAGGCACAGTTTTATTCTCCCTCACCCTCCTTTCTCAGCTCATACCCATCACTGTGTTGTTTTCTGGCAACATGGCTCTTCATTAGTTGTGGGGATCCTTGCGCCATGTGCTCATTCAGCAGCCAGTAGGAGGCCCCTGAACTCAGCTGAGCCCCTGAGGCTCAACTGGCTGCTCAGAGTTCCACTGTCCTGAGTAAACTCCTCTGTGATCTGTCGCTGGGCAACGCGCTCAGACATTCCGAGCTCATTTTGACTTGTCCACAGCATGACCAATGGGGACATCCAGGGTGACCTTTGTGTCCATGGCCACAACCTTGGTACCCACCTGCAAGAGAAGAGGCACTGTCAACTTGAACTAAAAGGAGGCCAGAAAATCCCAGCACCAGTGGCTTTCAGAGGGTGCTTCAGCTCCAGGATTTGTCTAAGAAAGGAAAGCACACGTGTATTTAAAACCAAAATTGACAGAGTCCCATAAAGAAAAGGGAACAACCATGAGGGATTTCCCCCTTCCAACCACTAGGGAAAGCTGAAGACTTCTGCGTCTTCTTCCCTGCCAAGTAATACAAGACATGGGCCTTCAGAACCTCCTGCCAGCTGCTATGGCCAGAGCTGGATACAGAGCAAGCACAAAAAAAAAAACAACAGAGAAGAGGCTGTGTAATAAATTGTGTAATAAAAACATGCAGGATGCACAATGAAACATGCGGGCCAAGGTCAAGGAAGCTGGTTGGGATTAAACAAATACGGCAATTGAGCTCTCATCCTAAACAAGGAATGAGACTTCTCCAACAAACATTGGACGCTGTGTGGCACAGCCAGGAAGCTGCCGTGTTGGCAGCACTACAGCAGAACAGTCACACTCAGCCTCACTGAGAAGGGCTGACAGATGATCATGAAGCTGCCCTGCCACATCTCCCACAGAGCAGACTCAGGTCTCTTACAGGGAATGTCCTTTAAAAACCTTCAACACATCTTGCAGCGTTTCTCACAGCTGCAGTCCCTTCCTACCAGAAGGTACATGCACAAGTTATCACAGTCCTGGTGAACAAGCAAGGGAGGAGCTTAGCTAGAATTATTCACACCTATCTACATTGTGAGTCTGAATGCAACAAACCCTTCTGATAGCAGTAGCAGAGGGAAAGCTGCACACTCACCTGGCATAGTCCCTCCACAGGCACAGCGAGCAGCTTTCTTTCCTCCACTTGAGCAAAACGTGCAGCAGTGGAACATGCCTTGGTGCTTGCGGAACTTGCTTTTCACCATCACAATGAACGGAGAGCCCTGCAGAGGACAAGCAAGCAGAGAAGCTGCTGCAGTGCATGCTACCCAATGTTGCGTCTGCATTTCTAAAAAGAAGCTGGGTGATCTTGTCAGTCACAGATCATTGAGACATGTCTCAACTGCCAAGTGATAGAACCAACTCTTAGAGAGATTTAAAGCAAATACTTAGAAAGGAGAAGTATGTAAAGAAGCAATGCATAACAAACAAGAACTGCTACCTGTACATGCTGCCCTTTCACATAGACGCAGACAGCATACAAGCCTGGCTCCTCAGGGCTGTAGGAAATATGGTAGGTCCCATCACCATTATCACACACTGTTGGTTTGACTGTACTATGAACAGAAAAAGAGAAGCCCAAGAGATGAGTGATTGACAGCAAATTGCTGTACCTGTGAACTACTGTTTGGCCCTAGATTTCTGGTCAAGTCCTCATCCTCATCCCTGTTCAGCAGCTGTGGTTCTTGAGTGAGCCTGACAGAATGCATAAGCAATGCTCAGGCACTGAGTAGCTTTCACACACACCTGCTACAGGGAGCTGCAGTACCCATACAGAGGAAGTCGCACAAAGCTAGCTGTGCTGCAAGGATCTGCAGTAACCCAGAGCTCTGAAGGAGCAGATGACTGACAGAACACTTGCAGGTCAGATCATCCCATCCGATAAGAGCCCTCCAAAAGGGGGTAAACACATAGTTTTGTAGAACAATTTACTTTTAGAGGAGCCCATGAGGAAGACAGGACATAAGCAGGGTAGGTTTGAATCACTTCAACTACTGCCCCAAATACACTGACCTCAACTCTTCTGTGACACTCTGATCAGCTCTAGGTCCCTGCTGGCCAATTTCCCTTCCCAAAATGAAGCTCAATGGGTGTCACACTACTTGTGGACAGTGACAGGAAAAACCATAATCCAGTTACTTGGGAGCTGATTGCCTACTTCACAGAAAGAGCCTTCCACAAAAAAATTAGCAGGCAGCTCTTTAAAGAGGGAGGTAATCTTCCTAATCTTTACTATTTAGTCTTATGTGCCCCACAACATGGCCATTTATAGCCTCACAGATTAATAGGTTGTATTCTCCATCCCCCACTATATATTACATCAAATATGACTGCCTGCATCACTTCCTGCCACGAACTGCGTGCTGACACTTGAGGCTCTTCAGCAGCTGCTGTGCCTCACCCTGAAGCCAGACAGCTTTCAGCAACAGATGTAGAAAAACTGCCTAGGCATATGAACAGGAAACTGAGTTAACGTGGCCACAGCAACCTCTACCCTACCAAGCAAAAGCCACATAAATCTTACATGTACACCTCCTCGTACCATCTGTACACCTAATGAAGGTACAAAGGAGCAATATTTTTGAACAATGATCCTTCACTGGCAAGCATCTGTGTACCCAGCTCTGTTTCTGTATGAGCACATCAATACTTTCTCATATGAGAGAAGTTTAGCATCCTGTCTCTTTTCAGGTCATCCCACCAAGAAGAAAGCCTGCAACAATTGTGCTCGCATCTTGACTCAGCTGCAGCGTATGCACCCGAAAACCCCCAAGGATGTGAGAGTGCTCAACACCTGCAACAACAGGAGAAAGTGTGATGAAGTATTAGCAATGCTTTTTTCTCCAGAACAGAAGTTTAGGCACCTCCATCAGCTGCAGAGGTTCTGGGGCTTGATGGCTCACTGTGATTGTTCTTGGCATTGCAATGTTGTATGCTCATTAGGTTTTAACAAAAGCAGGAGCTCTAGGTGGCTGCTGGTAGGGGTGGGAAGCAGCAACAGCTCGCTATGCAATACTCTCTGTAAGCTGAATCCTTTAAGAAGCCTCAGACCACTAAAAGATTCAATACAAGCACGAGCCTACAATGTCAAGCTCCACACTGTATACAACTGCTAGAAACCACTGCTACACTGGTGGGAAAAACCACTGTGCCTTTACTTCTTCAGATAGTGACTCAGATGTTGAAGGACTTCTTTAAACCTGTCCAAACAAGGAGGGAGTCGAGATAAGGGGGACAGAGAAGCAAACTCAGCGACTGGGGAGTTGTCTAGTGAAATACCCACCAGTCCTTCTTGTCCTTGTGGGTGATGGTGACCATCACAGCTTCTCCTCCTCTCCCCATCTGCTCTCCCATGGTGTCATTGCAGAGTAGGGTAAAGCCTGTCAGTTCATTCTGATGGGCACTGCAGAGATCTGGAAGGTGGAGAAAAAGTCAAGAAAGGACTCAACAACCACAACTGCCATCTCCCACTCATGTGGTAGTATTTTAATCCTGCTAGAGCACACCAAGGACACCACCGATAGGGTATATGTCTCCCTCCACCCACAGGAAAATGTAAATACACTACCTAGAGGTCTGCTTCCTAGAGGTCTGCACAAATCAGGTGGCCACCTGCCTACACTTCTGAGCCCAACAGGTGTCCTCCCTGTGGGCTTCAAGGTGCCCCACACACCCAGGAAGGAGCACGCCACCATACAGTGCAGAGCCCTAGAAACCTCAGCACTTGCACTGTGACACTGAAAGGACTGAGTGAGCCCTGGGCCTGCCCACCTGTGCTGCGCAGGCCAGAGGTGGCTGCACTGAGAGCTAGTCTGAACGTTATCTGTTTGCTGGCTCTGCCCCAAGTCATTAGAAAACAAACATCCATGAAACCACCTATGCCAGTTATTCCCTGGGCATTCTCAGAAGCTGTAAAGACAAGAAGCCAATACAGCCTTCAGCTGCATCCCACCCAGACACAGAGAATGGAAACGTGACTTCAGGGAGTAACCAGTGGTATGGCACCCTGTTACCTTCCCCATGCAGGGTACATTTGGCTGGATCAACAGCTTTGCAGATAATGGCCCCAAAAACCTCATAGCCTTGACATTGCCCTGCCCTCTCCTGGGGAGAGAACTGAATGCTGTCATCCTCTCTGGGGTGGGTGCTGTAAGCAGCGCTGTTCAGCTTTGCCAGTCGGCTTGCCACCACCCCTTTGGTGACGAGGATTCCCAGGTCTGAGCCACTTGTCAGCAAGCGCTCCGTGAACTCCACGCCTGTCCTCATGTCCAGCAAGAGCTGCTGCAGCTGGGCCTTCTGCAAGTGCAGCAGGTTTTCCTTCTGCACCTTCAGGTCCTCCAGCTGCTTCAGCAGCCGGTCCCGGTGCTCTTCAATCGCTTTCACATATCCTCTGGCAAACAGACTGATCTCCGCAGCCACGGCCTCTGCACGAGCACGGATGGCACTGCCCACACCATCAGTCTGGCTCAGCACATCTTCTAAAGTGCTCATGCGCTGCTGGGTGCTTCTCAGCAGCTTCTGCAGGGAGTCCCTGTGCCGGTGCACAGCATTGCTGGTGAAGTCATAGGGGTGCTGCTGGTGCCTTTGTGCAACGCAATCCTGGCATACAGGCTGGTCACACTGCTCGCAGAACAGCCACAGCTCCTCTGAGGGATGGGAAGGGCAGAAGAAAGGCTTCTCAGCCTGGCTGCAATCCCTGGTGCTCTCCAGCTCCATCACGACATGGGAGGCAGTCTTCTTCTGTCTCCTAGAAGGGAGCAACCACAGAACTTTATGCACGTTGGATATGAAATGCTAGCATCCAAGAACGCTTACAAATGCCAGTCTGCAAGTCAAAGTGCACTGCTCCCTCCTGTCTTCCCTGAAATTCATACTGCATGAAGGACTTGCATCTCTTGAGAACAAGCCTCCACACAAAAGAAGACACCATCTGTAAAGACCTCATTAGAAGCTGCTCTCAGGCCCCTCAGATGCTGTCAGCACTATTTTCAGACACAAGAACTGTGCGCCCCACCACTGCCACACACCCCAGGGAACAGGCTGCCAGGCTGCTACTGCCAGCAGCCCCTCCATGGAGCCTGTCAGGAGCGGGATGGTTGCAATCACCTCCAGAGCCCACTGTGAAAAAGCCAGCAGGAGGAAGGCATACATTGCCAAGTGAGAGCTGACAGAAGGTGTCTCAAACAGAACTGCTCACTGACAGTTACTTTTAGATAGAAACAGGTGGTGTCAACCCAATGATTTTCACCAGTGTTAGATCTGCAGAGGCAAAGAAACTCTAAATGACCCTCTAGGGGAAAATCTAGTTCAGGGAATAGGCAACAGTCTGTGGTAAAATGTTTGTTATTCTGAAAGTCAACCCTCTTTTCCTTTTGGTTAGATGCTACTAAGAGGATATGAGGGGCTGGACACAAAGCGTATTTTAACCAGATAGTCACCATGGCACATAATTCCACTGGAATGTTTCCATTTTCTGTTAGTTTGGACACTGGTAGCCAGTTACTGACCGGGAATGAAAGCCATCTCTCTTTTCTGTCTTCTGGACTGATGACTGTACATAAATAAGCTGTTTGTTGGCAGTTGCAGAGGGAACTCTGAGCCACAAACAATGAAAAAGTCTGTGAGGATGAAGCTCTAGTGTTGTGCTGGCAATCTCGACATAGGGTGAGACATGGCCCATTACACTATTCCTCTTGCTTCCCAGCAATTTCCCTCAGGTCCAGCAAATTTTCAGTGCTTTCTAGCAATATTTGCTTACATCCTCCACATTTACACTTCCCAGACTTCACTTAAGATTATCTCACTTATTCCAAGAGGCACAACAGTGTCACTCAGATCCTTAGACATCTTCCTTGTGCAGAAGGAAATAATTTCAAAATTGCTTTTCTTGGCCCTGGTTCTGCTCTGCCATCAGGAGAAAGCAAGTGTTAGTCTGCAGATGCTAAAAATGATATCAAGAAATATGGCCAGAAGTCCTCCCACTGCTTTATACCTTGCACAGCTATTTCTGTCAATGCGACGGGCTGCTATTCAACATCTCTGTTCATTATTCTTCCGCAGCTTGCATGGGCTATAAGGCATTAGCTCATCAGAATGGCATGCTGAAAATTGCAGCCCTGTGGAAAGGTAACTGAGAATCTGAGCCACCTCACAGGCACTGATATCTGCAGGGAGAAGGGAGGTGAGGAATTTACCTCAATTCTTTCTGTGGAAAGACTTTGCTATTAAATGGAAAAAGGCAGAAAACATGGAGCGAGTAGGCCAAGCTGATTAACCCTGGCTGTAACTTCCTGGGACAGCATTACTGAAGGTTTTCCTGACCCTGCCTGTTGCCTCTTTGCTTCAGAAGGCTATTCAGGCTTCTGGTCACTTCTCTTCTGCAGCACTGCCCTCCTCTTCTGCTCGTACATTACCAGAACCCCACCTCTTCTTCTTGCTCAAGTGACACAACTCCCTTTGAGGTGAAAATCTCTCCCCTGCCTTTTCTTTAGTTTCCAACAGGAACTACATTCCACCAGAAATAAACTCCACAATGACTTGCACACAGCAAAGCTACAGCACTATTGCTGTAGGATCCTGGCCTCACACACGTGCTGAGAGTGCACGCAGGATCCGCGGGCACAACAGTTAGGAGCATCGGGAGGTGGCAACCATAGCAGTCAGGTCAGGCCTGCCATTCCACCTAAAAGTGCCTTTGTACATACTCACGTTTCTGGAGTGAAATGACCCCACAGCATCTTAACCTCCTGCCACAGCCCAGGGCAGGCTGTTCCATGCCCAGCGCCCTGTGGTGCAGACCCTGCCCCTCACCCCCAGCTGCCCCTCTCCTGACTCAGCTCCACGCCGTTCCCTCGGGCCCCGTCGCTGAACCGTAAGGCTCAGCGCTGCCCCTCCGATCCCTGTGAGGGCAGCCTCCCCAGCCCACCTCCAAGCAGGCTACAGCGCCGCGGCCGGCTCCCGGCAGCCCCGCCGCCCTCACCTGTGTGCCTGGCAGCAGAAGAGGCAGAGGCGCGCCCCGCAGGTCTGGCAACGCCTCGCAGCCGCTCCGTCGGCGCACAGGTCGCACCCCACCGCGCCGGCGGCCCCGCCGCGCCCCAGCGCCGTGTAGTCCGGGACGAGCTGCCCGAGGCCGCCCGACGGCAGCGCCACCTCGGCGTCGCACAGCGGGCACAGCACGCTGAAGGCGGCGGCTCGGCCCGGCTCTCCCAGCGTCCCCAGGCGCCGCAGGCAGGGCGCGCACAGCGAGTGCAGGCAGGGCAGGAGCCGCGGCTCCACGCAGGGCTCGGCGCACGCCGGGCAGCGCGACGCGGCCATCCCGCCTCCCGCCCGGCCGCTAAGGGTCTCTCCCGCCGGCTGGCGCCGGCCGCCCCGTTGCTCCGGGCGACGGCGGTTGGGGGCGGGGGCGTCTCACGGCGATCCGCGGTCTTTCTGTGTGAAAGAGGGGGCAGGCCCAACCGCAAGGCGTCTTCCGAGGACCTCCAGCGACCACTTTCATTATTAACTTCAATGATGCTTTAGTTTCAGTTACATCAATTGCTCATAATTGTGCTCTTACCCCTATGTCACCTACCAATTGTGGTAGGCAATTCAAGGGATAGGTATGTTGGTGCCCTGTGAATAACTTCAAGAAACGTAATAGGCTGCAAAGCATTCCAAGAACTAGACAGGAACACCCTTCTCCATCCCTGTTCAGTTTGCTTTGTAGCTGGACAAAATGGAAGGGTAAAAAGAGAACATGTTAACGTACAGAGCTAGCAGGACTTTAAGGATGCCCTTCTGAGAGCACAAGAGCTCTTCATCATCCAGAATAAGAAATCAGGCAGATGAGGCAGGAAACCAGCATGGCTGAGCAAAGACCTGCTGGTCAGGCTGAGGGAAAGAAAGAAAAAGTGTAAGCTGTGGAAGCAAGGATGGGTGGCCTGGGAAGAATATAGGGATGCTGTCTGGATGTGCAGGGATGGAGCCAGGAAAACCAAGGCACAGATGGAATTGAATTTGGCAAGGGATGTGAAAAACAACAAGAGAGGATTCTTTAGGTACATTTGGCAGAAGACAAGGCAAAGGAGAGTATATCTGCCCTAATAAAATTGAAAAGGGAGAGCTGGCCTCCTCAGACGTGGAGACGGTTGAGGTACTTCATGAATTCTTTGCTTTAGTCTTCACAGCTAGTCATGCTTCTCATGCTTCTCATGTCCCCAAACTTCTAAGTGGGTAATGGGGGAGCAAAATCACTCCCAGTGTAAGAGCAGAGCAAGTCCAAGACCACCTCATGAGGCTGAATGTGTACAAGTCCATGGGGCCAGATGACATGCATCCCAGGGACCTGAAGGATCTGGCTTACATGGTTGCCAAGTCACTCCATCATATTTGAAAAACTCTGGCTGTCAGGTGAAGACCCCAGTGACTGGAAAAAGGGAAACATGACTCCCATTTTTAAGAAAGGGAGAAAGGAAGACCTGGGAAACTACAGGCCATTGAGCTTCACATCTGTGTCCGAGAAGACTGTGGAGCAGATCCATGAGATGTGGAGAGTGATCCAAAACAGCCAGTGTGACTTCACCAAGGACAGATCGTGCTTGACCAACCCAGTGGCCTTCTACAATGGCATAGGTTATAAGCTCTTTAGGAAAGACAGGCAAGGAGAAGGGGAGGGGTATGGCCTCTACATCACTGACCACCTGGAGTCTATGGAGTTCCACCTGCTGATAGATGAGGAGCTGACAGAGAGCTTATAGGTTAGGGTTAAAGGGAAGGCAGAGGAAGGTGGCCCTACATCATAGTGGGGCCACCTGATGAGGAAGACCAAGTGGATTGAGGCCCTCTATAAACAGATAGGAGCAGCCTCAAATTCACAAAACATGGTCCTCATAGGGGACTTCAACCACCCCAATATCTGTTGGCAGGACAATACAGCAGAGCACCAGAAATCAAAGAGGTTCCCGGAATGTGTTGATAACTTCCTCTTCCAAGCGATACAGGAACCCATGAGAAAAGGTGCTATGCTGGACCTTGTCCTCACCAGTGAGGAGGGGCTGGTGAGTAATGTGAAGCTCAAGGACAGAGCTTTGGTTGCTGTGACTACAGAATGACAGAGTTCAATATCCTCAGGGTATTAAAGAGGGTGCACAGCAAGCTTGCTACTCTGGACTTCAGGAGAGCAGACTTGGAAGTCTTCAGGGAACTGCTTGGCAGGGAGACATGGGAGAAAGCCCTGGAGGGAAGAGAGGCCCAAGAAAGCTTGGAAGGCCAATGGTATTCTGGGCTGTATCAGGAGAGTGGCCAGCAAATGAGAGGGATGTGGTTGGCTCTACTCTGCCCTTATAAGGCCCCATCTGGAGTAGTGTGTCCAGGCCCAAGGCTCCCAGTACAGAAAGGATGCTGAGCTGTTGGAGCAGGTCCAAAGGAGGGCCACAAGGATGATCAAAGAGAGAGGGATTTGGGCTTGTTTAGCTTGGAGAAGGCTCCAGGGAGGCCACATAGTGGCCTTCCAGTACACGAACGGAGCTATAAGCAGGAGGGAGCCCAACTTTTTACACTATCTGATAGTGATTGGACAAGGAGGAATAGCTTTAACCTAAAAGAGGGTAGATTTAGGTTAGATGTTAGAAAGAAATTTTTTACTCAGAGAGTGCAGAGGCACTGAAACAGGTTACCCAGAGAGTTCGTGGATGATCCATTTCTGGAGGTGTTCAAGGTCAGGTTGGATGGGGCTCTGGGCAGCCTGATCTAGCGGTTGGCAACCCTGCCCTTTGCGTGGAGGTTGGAACTAGATGGTCTTTAAGGCTCCCTTCAACCTAAGCCATTCTGTGATTCTGTGATAAACGCTGACAGGCGATAGAGTAGCACAGTTACAAAAACAAAACAATGCAAACATCTCATTAAAACAATACACTAAACAATAAACATTTCCTTTTGCCACATTTCACAAAAGTTGATGGATGGCTAAATATCCCCATCATTTGACCCAAGATTTACTTGAAGTGGAATCCTCTTCAGACTTTTTCCTGCTATTGTTAAAAATGTCTATCGGAACCACTCAGTACATTTGCACTGGGTGACCTACTCTCCCTATTGCACTTTCTTTGCCAGCTCCTTCTTCTTTTTCCTGTTTATCTGCTTCCTGTTTCCTAACATCAAGCACAGGATCATCATGCAGAGACATGGAAAATTAGGTTTCCTTCCCTCTACCTCTCAAGAGATTTGTATAATATTTCCATTGTATTTGCTCATTAGTCTATCTGTACAAGAACTTTATGCTGCCTTCCCGTTAATATTTTTTCTGATGAAATACTGGTAACACTTTGTACATGTACCAAAAAGTCTTAAAAGCCCAATTTCCTTCCTAGACTCCTTCCTAGTGAGTAGCGTGGGCATAAATCAATGATTAAATGTGGAAAAGGGTGTCTCAAGCTTCTTTGATCCTATATACTGTTACTTTTAGGAAGCTCTTCCTGAATATCTTGCCAGGAATAGTGAACATGACAGCAAAGAACAGGGCAGCTGACCTTGGGCTTCCAGAAAAGTCAAAGTGAAAAGATCATTGCTGCTTTCCAACAGCTCCAGCTCCACTGTAGGTCTGCCAGCCCTAGGGAGCTACCATGGTGTAGATGATTCTGAGAAGTCACACTGATCTTCTGGAAATGCTTTTGAAGCACCATTGCTTGTTTCTGCACAAACTGTTCTTTATTGTCTATCCCCTAGCCGTGCAGCTAACAACTCTTCCTGTTTATATCAACCTCACCTAGAAAATCCAAATCCCCAGTTCAGCAAGGACTGAACACTGTCTCCCAGCCTAGGCTGAATCTCTTTCTCATTTAGCAAATGCATGCTTAACAGCCAGAGGCACTCAACTAGGGGAAGCAGTGTTTCTGTACTGTTCATTGGGCTTCTGATTCCAGAATATTTGCTATGGGCTGGCAGAAAGTCCATCAGGGTGTGCAAGCTGAAGCTGCACTGAACTCTCTGCTT